GTAAGATGTCCCAATATCTTCTCAATGATTACTTATTCAAAAAGGGTTTCTCCACAAGCTTTCATCTTATTAATGATCAGAATCACTCTGGAGATGTACTCAGATATCTTCTCATTGTCCTTCATGATAAGATTCTCATACTGCTTTTATAGAGACTGAAGCTTCACTTTCTTCACTGATGCGTCACCACTGTAACACCTAACCATTGTGTCCCACACGGCCTTTGCCGTCATCGAATAAGCAATTTTCTCAAACACATTCACATTCACACACTGATGGATGTAGAACAGCATCTTCTGATCTTTCTTCCTCTGATCACCCTGAGCATTTCTCTGTGCATCATTTGCATTTTCTGGAAATACAACCGAAACATAACCATCGTTTACGAGATCAAGAACATCTTGAGCGCCAAACAACACACGCATCTAAATCATTCAGCGATTTCAGTTCTTGCCATTAAACATTGGAAGTTTGGTGCTCAGACTACCATTTTCGTTCATCTTCAACCTTGTGCAGGTCACTCAGATCTCACCAAACACAAAGTTTCTCATTCCCACAGAATCAAACAATGTGATTTTGTTACGATTTTGTTCAAGATTTAACACAAATTTAAGAAACAAAATCAATCATACAATGCCTCATTGTTTCATTCGTGTTTCACGTGTTTCCCTGTGGATCCGAACTAGAGCTCTGATACCAATTGTTAGTGCACAAGGTGATAAAAAATAGGAAGAATAAGAGAATATATTTTATTGCCTTGAAATGACGAATACAAAAGCTAAAGAAAAATTGATTAAAAATGACAACTACTACTAATCTATTTATACATACAAACTATGATCACATAGATACCATACTAAAATATTACATAAATTGTATTGATATGATGCTGAATGGATGATAGTCACTCATAATAATTCAATGCTTTATGTTTTTAAATAGATCTAATTGTAGATGAAATACAATGTCATTGTTTACTGCAACACATTAGAAAATTGAAAGTTGTTGTAATTTATAATTTTGTTTTATAACACTAAATACATAATTTGTGTGTGTAAATTTCACTCTGAAATCAGGATTTCTCTTACGTGAGATTTTTTGGGTTACATTTTTAAAAGAGTGACATACTACTTAGAATTTAAAATAAGTGAAAACTCAAGAATGACATAGGTTTGAAGAAGTAGTTTGAAAACCATGTAATGTAGTTTGTTGGAAAATTGTACTTCGTGTCACTGATACTTCAATTTTTTTACATTTCAATTTATTAACTTAAGTTGGATTATATTTGCTTTAAGTAACAAAGATATATTTTTATATTCTACTAATAATAAAGAAAGATTATAACGTTACTATAGCTTCATTTGTAAATTGGAAGTAGTTATAAAATATTTTTTCTATTTTAAAATTTTTTATCCTATATCTCGCAAGAGTATACACACTAATATATATATATATATATATATATATATATATATATATATATATATATATATATATATATATATATTACAAGAAGAAAAAAGAGTTTTATGATATATGAATTGCGATAATTCTCATAAATTTATCATTATTTTTAAATTGCGACAGTTGTCACGATAATTAAAGTCAATCGTCACAAATTTTTAGACATGTTGAGTAACATAATTGCGACGGTTGTTAAAGAACCACCCTCTTTTCACACTCAAGACCGTTCGGATAGACTGTCGCGACTACTTTGACAAATCATAATCGTTATTTTTGTTATTATTTTATTTTCTCACTTTTTTCTCTATTTTATTTTTCCATCTTTTCACTTTTATTAATTAAATATGATAATAATAATTAATTAATCATAATATTAGTATTATAATATTACTTACTAATTATTAATTATATTAATAGTAATTATATAATATAAATAGTAACTATATTAATATTATTAGTATTTATATAACATAATAGCAATATCAATAGATATTTAATAAAAAATAGAATTATAGCATACAAATATATATTTTTTTTAAAAAGAAATTTTTTTAACACATCATGTTTCACGCTGAGCAAACAAAAATTCTTCATCTCCGTCCTCCACCGTCCCTTTGGCTGGAATGTATCATATTCATATCTCAGGTTCAAGAACCAATCTTGCTCAAGTTTCATGACCGTTCTCTACATGTCCTGAAGATGAAGGTAACCACTTTCTCATTAACATTATAGAACTAAACTACATTATTGATTGTAATTGTTCTTGAACTGATGTTAGTGTTTTATCTCTAACCGACAACAACCAACATTGACAAGTGAGATGTCCTATAAAATAGTGGTGTTGTTGGTGGTTATTTTGTGTAATTAATGTGTTTTGGGTCAAGTGGAGTCCATTATTGAAGTGGTTCTCAATAGTGAATTTGAGGGAGGTTCAAGTATTAACAATTTGTTTGGTTGTGGATAGTTGTTGCCTTTTCAACAAAGGGTAGGTGAATCTCACTAACTATTTGTACGACTGGGTAACATTGTTGATGATGATAATTAAACTAGAAATATCCATTACAGTAATGGTTTCATTTATCTTTATTAATCTTTATTATTTAAGAATCAGGGAAAAAGTAAATACCACTAAATGTGACAAAATAATGTTCAAGTGTCTAAAGGCCTCATTCAGTTCAAATTCAGACAAAAAAAAGAAGAGAATTGTTTATTTCTTACAATAAGTAACCTTATAAATTAAAAACAAACACCAGCCTACAAAACATAGAACTTTAGAAGTTAGTATTCCCTTTGATTCCCAAATGTTGTCAGTTTTCCTTGGTTTGTAACTCCTTGCTTCTTGAGGTATGATCCCAAAATATGGCGAGATAAATTTATTGAGTTAAAAATAAATTAAACGGGGTTTCTTTTCTAGTGTTTTAAGTATTCAATTCTCAAACTATATAAAATTAATTCTAAAATTTCCAACACAATCAAGTAAAAATTATTTGAGATTAATTTAGTATTTGTCATTTGTTGGATATTCTCTTTAGGTTATACGTGGCATTCTTATCTTTACTACTTTTGTGTATAAATAAGTGTATTAGGTTTACATTTAATACAATCAATTCTCTTCAATCATTTGTGACAGTTTTTAACATTTATTTCTTTTCTCTCTTCTACCTCAATTTCATCACCTTGCACTAACAAATTGGTATCAGAAGAAAGTATGGCTGAATGCCATGAAAGAAAAACTTGAGGCTATTGAAAGAAACAAGACTTGGAAGCTGACAGAACTTCCAAAAGGCAAGAAAGTCATCAGCGTCAGATGAGTTTTCAAGCAGAAGTTAAAACCAGATGGATCAATTGGCAAACACAAAGCAAGACTAGTGGTCAGAGGTTTTCTTTAGAAACCTGGACTAGATTACTTTGAGGTGTTTGCGCCTGTAGCTAGACACGAAACAATCAGACTGGTGATTGCTTTAGCTGCAAACTTGGCCTTTGATACATCTGGATGTGAAGTCTGCATTTCTGAACGGTCCATTACAGAAAGAAATTTATGTGTGACAACCTCCTGGATTTGTGAAAAAGAATCAAGAAGGGATGGTATGCAGGTTAAATAAAGCTCTGTATGGACTGAAGCAAGCGCCCAGAGCTTGGAATTTGAAGATTGATTCGTTTTTCAAGTAACAAGGGTTTCAGAAGTGTGAGATGGAGTATGGTGTTTATGTTCATCATACTTCAGAAGGTAATATGATTCTGGTCTGCTTGTATGTTGATGACATATTACTCACATGAAGTTCTGAACAAGAAATAGTTGAGTTCAAGAAAGTTCTGATGAATGCGTTTGAGATGACAGATCTTGGAAAAATGAGTTTCTTTCTAGGGATGGAATTTATATACTCTGAGAAAGGAATCATTTTACATCAGAAGAAGTATGAACTAGAGCTTCTAAAGAGATTTGAGCTAGCAAATTGCAAGGTTGTTATCACACCTGCTGATACGAATCAGAAGTTGGACTATGATTCTGATGGAGAGGATGTGGATGCTGCAACCTTCAAACAGATGGTTGGTTCTCTGAGGTATTTGTGTAATACCAGACCTGATATTTGCTATTTAGTTGGAATGGTCAGCAGATACATGAGCAAACCAAAGTGGTCTCATTACCAAGCTGCTGTTAGGATTCTGAGGTATGTAAAAGGAACTCTGAAATATGGAGTGTTATTTCCTTTTAGAGGAAAGATCAAATTAGAACTTCTGAGTTATTCTGATTCTGATTGGTGTGGAGATAGAGTTGACAGAAGAAATACTTCTGGGTACTTGTTCAAGTTTCTGGAAGGTCCAATTTCTTGGAGTTCCAAGAAACAGCCTGTTGTGGATTGTCAACATGTGAAGCTGAATACATTGCAGGTGCTGTAGCTGTTTGTCAAGCAGTTTGGCTTCTGAATCTCCTGCATGATCTGAAGGTTGAAATTGAGGAACCTCTGAAGCTGATGATTGATAATAAGTCTGCAATTAATTTTGCCAAGAATCCTGTGCTACATGGAAGAAGCAAGCACATTGAGACGAAGTATCACTTTCTCAGAAGTCAAGTGCAGAAAGAAGTGTTAGAAGTTCTGCACTATAGCATTCAGAAGCAGCTGACAAATGTTCTGACAAAGGCGATAAAAATAGATCAATTTCTTCGCTTGAGAGATGAAATTGGTGTTGTTAACTTCTGATAGTTACTAAATTACGGGATGGTATTAGAGGATAATTTAGTATTTGTCATTTGTTGGATATTCTCTTTAGGTCCTATGTGGTATTATTATCTTTACTACTTTTGTGTATAAATAGGTGTAATAGGTTTACATTTAATACAATCAATTCTCTTCAATCATTTGTGGCAATTTTTAGCATTTATTCTTTTTCTCTCTTCTACCTCAATTTCATCACTTGCACTAACAGAAATAGACCGGCAACTAGAACATTAGTAGTAATAAAAATTTGCCTCTGCTGGTAACTTCTAACCTTCTAGCATGTTGATTCCATGTGCTCTTTATGCATGAAGATGGATCATGTGTATGGATTTGTATCCTGGATTTGCTTTATATTGTGGGTTGTATGAGTTTGTACGGTCTGCCTCCATTATCGATAATTTGAAGACTAATGATATATGGTGGAAGGATCTGAGTGGTGGCGCCAATGGCATAAAAGGGGTCTTAATTATCATGGTTGCTGAGTGGATAGTAATGTCTTTTGTTGTTTATTACATTGATCAAGTATTTTTGATAGGAAGTGGAAAAAGTCCTCTATTCTTCTTAAAAGGATTTCAGAAAAAATATCTCCCATTATTGAAGAAGTCCAGTATTAAAAGGCAAGGATCAAAAGTTTTTGTTCAGATGGAGAAACTCGATGTCATTCGAGCGGTGAGTTTTATGTATATTGAGTAAATGTATTTTTTATTATATGTGCACCTTATGGATTAATAAAATAAAATATCTAATATCTATCAAGGCAAAGGGGTGCATTTCACCAACTGGTTTTATAAGTTAATTTTTACCTTGAGTTAAACATATTGGGATTCTCACAGTTGCAGTATGTCATTTGAAACGAGGTTTGGTACATAGATATATTCTACTATGTTTTTAATTAAGTTGTTAAATCATTTGAAATCTTAATAATGTTGCATCCCAATCTATTGTTATGCTCAAACTTGATAATATTTTAAACGACAATTTTAAATTATGTTGTATTCATTATATCATTGGAGTGAATTACTGGTATACGGATCAAATTTGAAATCTCTTAACAGGAAAAACTTTTTTTGAACTTCAACTTGTTTTTCATAATAATGTTTTTTTATTCATAATGGTATTTGTGTTTTATCTTTGTTGTGGGATTGCACAAAATATATTATTGAATGATCTAACAACATATATCAAATGGTTGCTAACTTAAGTAACTTGCTACTTTGATTCTGAGTTTCTAATATGGCATCTTATGGTTAGAGATGTAATTTTTTCATTTGAAGTTTGGTGTTTCATGATTGATATGGTTTTAATCCTTTTTTTTTTACATGGTATTCACTTTTTTGACTGGGGATTCCATTCCTTCTTGATGGACTTATGGAAGTCTTACAATTTTCCCCATTCTGCTAGCAGCAATCTGAAAAGAGCAAGCCTGAGTCATAGATAGTCAACATGACGCAGGATATTATAGAAATTATTATACTGCATTTTATGGTCGATTGCCATGTGTATGTTTGTAATTTTAAGTTTGATATTACTCAAATCTAGGTATAGCTAGTAGTTGAATATAATATTTAAATTAGATTAACGACTACAGGGCCGACCCAACACTCTATGAGGTTTAAAGCAAATTTTAAATTGAGGGCTTTTATATTTTAATAAAAAAAATTAAATTAAATTATTATGATATTTATTTAAATTTTATTCTTCGAGCTTTTTGAGATGCAAAATTATTTATTAAACTATTGTAATCAATTTCATTTAACATTTCTTTTTCAATCGATAATAAAGTCAATCTATTTAATCTATGTTGAGACATTGTTGACCTTAGATAAGATTTTATTAATTTTAGTTTTGAAAAACTTCTTTCTGCCGAAGCAACAGTTACAAGAATCGTTAACATTATTCTATAAGTAATAAATGCATTTGGAAAAGAGTTGAGTCTTATTATATAGTTAAGTATATCAATTGGCGTATCATTCTCAACATGTATGATTTCTCTTAATATTTTCAATTCTAAAAATAAGTCTAATCCATCAATATCAGAGTTATCGTTATGTTTTAACGAACATTCGAGGTTAAATCAATATTCTTTTAAATTTTCAATTTCCAATGACCTTAATTTCTCTATACTAAATAGAAAACCAAAAATATTTTGATATATTTTAAATTGTTCAAATCTACTTCAAAATGATATAATTGCATGATCTAATATGTACAAAAAATAGTCAGATTTAAATGATTCTTCAAGAGTTTTTAAAACTTCATTGTCAATAATCTCATCAAATTGTCTCTTTCTACGAATAATACGTTTTTCACGAAACTTAAGTTCTATATCCATTTCGGTAGCAATTTCTTTAGCCGAAATTATGGCATTTTCAAAACCATATTTCATGTATTTTTCGAAAAAAGAAATAAGCCCTTTCAATTGCTCTATAGCAACATAAATGCTCATATCATTTGATTGAAAGTGTTTACTAACTGAGTTTACAGCGAACAATATTTCATATCAAATAGTCATGCCTAGCAAAAATTCAAAATTTTCAAGCTCATAAGTTGCCAAACATTCAGCTTCACTTTTTATTTTAGGTTCATCATTCATTTCACCTAATTTAAATAAAGCATATCTTATTTGTGAAGTTTGGAATCTTATACCTTTTACACTTTCAATACGATTTTCCCAACGTGTTTGTGACAATGACTTCAAAGTAAGGTTAGGGATATGGTCTAGTAAAATTTTCCATCTTTTAGTAGAAGAAGAAAATATTGTATAAATACGTTGCACCACTCAAAAAAATGATGTAGCTTTGGAACAACAATTTGCCTTATCACAAAGTACCAAGTTTAGACTATGACAACCACATGGTGTATAAAATAATCTAGGATTAACATCTAAAAATCTTTTTTGAACACCTTGATGTTTTCCTTTCATATTAGAATCATTATCATAACCTTGTCCTCTTAAGTTAATAATATCAAGACCAAGTATATTTAGTTCATTCATAATAGCATCAAAAAGACCTTTTTTCCAGTTGTATCATCTACTACTAAAAATTCTAAAAAATACTCAACTATTTGTATCGAAGTTGAAAAAAAATCTACACATCGTAATACAATAGACATTTGTTCTTGATGACTTATATCAGGAGTACAATCAAGTATGATTGAAAAATATTTTGATTCCACAACTTTTTTTATAATTTTTTATAATTTTATTTGTTAGCAAATCTATTAATTCATTTTGTATTCCATGTCCAAGATAATGGTTATGAATTTCATCATTTTTTATTCGACGAATATGCTCTTGCATTAGAGGATCAAATTCTGCAATCATTTCAATTAGACATAAAAAATTTCCATTATTTTCTTGATAAATCTTTTCGTTTGTTCCACGAAATGCTAAGTTATTTTTTCCAAGAGTTTTAACAACTGCAATGATTCTAAGTAATAAATTTCTCCAGTGCTCTCTTTCTCTATTAATTCTTTCTTGAACATTCTTGTCAATTGTTTTATGTTTTAATAATCTCATTTCTAAATCAATCCATGAACTCATATTAACAATATGCTCATTACTCATCTCATAACTCTTCAACTTAACACTAATATTTCTCCAATCATTACTACCTTCATGTGCTAATTTACTTGTACTATGAAGAGCATTAAATAATTTACAACAAAAGCAAAACACTTTATCCAATTTTTGAGAATAAACCAACCATCTTCTTTCACGCTTCTCTCCGTTGGATAATTGTTGAATGTAAAGTGATGAAGAAAAGTGTCTTGCATATGCATCTTTAGGAAAATCTATATCGGTAACTTTAATATGACCCTTTTCTACTAATAAATCTCTCAAATTTGTGTCAATAGTTGTCCATTGACTTGGGTCATATATATTTTTATGAGATGATTTTTGTAATACTTTTTCTCTATCTTCATTATTAGTGTCAGAATCAATATTATCTTGCCTATTAACCGATACTATAATTTCATTATCACCCGCTATTCCTTCTCTATTTTCATTAGCATATATATTGTTAACTTGTTCATCAACTACCTCTTCTCGATTTTCATTTTCATCATGGTTTACATTACTAACTTGTTCATTCAGCGAACAATCACTATTATTTTCGATTTCACTTTTTTTGTTTGTCTTAACAAATTTGTCTAAAGCCCCTTTTTGTGATTCAATCAAAGCTTCAACTCTTTTCTTTTTCTTGAGTTTCGAATAGCCCGATTCATATTTTCGAGTCGACATTTATATATTTTAAAACAAATAAACAATTCAATCAAATCTTGAAAGTAAATAAATAAAATAAATAATTAAAATAAAACTCTAAATAAAACCAAAATAAACAAACAGAATAAAATAAATGAAATAAAATAAACAAACTAAAATAAAACTAAAGAGAATAAAAAATATAAAATAAACAAAACAAGTAATAACAAAGAAAATAGAACCTGTTTGTCGACAAAAACAGAATAGAAGAAAGAACCGCTTATTTGCCGTCAATCAAAAAAATAAATCGATGATTGATTGAAGATAGAGAATTAGAAAGAACTCAATAAACTAGAATAGGAGAAAATGGTGTTTACATCTGTAGAAAATATTCAATTGCAGTTTGAGTGTTTGATATTGAAAGAAGAAGAAGAATAGGTTATTATTGGAACAATGAGATTTGTGAAACTATTAAATCAATTAATACTAATTATTTTAGAACGTTAGGATTGGAAGAGAAAGAGTAAAAAAAGTACAAAATTGAAAAAGTAATGATAGCTTTACATGTCTGACTGGTAAACAAATTTATTAAAATTATTAAGTTAATTTAAATGAATTAATTGAGGCTTATTTTTAGGCCTTAATATCTTTGATTCTAAAAATATATTTAGGGGCCTAAAGCCCTATCTTTACCAGCTTGGCCCAATGGCCGGCTCTGAACGACTACAAGCCTATGTAGGATATGACTAGGACATTAAAATATATACAGATTAATTAAGTGCTTATTCAACGAGTGATAATCATATAGCTTATAACTCCCCTATTGTTTTAAACCGTCACAATTAGCATTGAAAGCAAAACAACAAATAGAATTCACGATGGTTTGAGCCGTCACAATCAACAATGAAAACAAAAAAAAAAAGAAAAACGAAAATTCACAACGGTTCAATTTACGTCAATTTCCTTACCTATTAGGAGTGAGCACGATGGTTGGTGTGACGGTTTTGGCAACCATCATTAAACAGCCATACACATTTTTGTGAAGGTGTTGCATATACACATATATGTATATACATATATACTATTTAATGACATGATAAATATGTGACTAAAAAGGGGTGTTGTTATATGTTTTAAATAATCAAAAATAAAAGTCAAGTTATCACATGTGGGAAGTTTAAAAAATTTCAAAAAAATAAGTTGTGGCGTGTAAAACATGTCGGTAAATAATATTTATAATAAAGAAAAGATGCCGGGTTTTCAAATAAGGGGAAGTATGAAATTTTCAAAAAATGATTTTGTGGGGTTTAAAACATGTCTCTAACTAAATTTCAAAAATAAAAAAATTTAGAGGGAAATGTTGACTCTTGGAATTGATTGTATTTATAATTTGATTGACAGTGTTATGTTTTCCCCGTCGCTAATTTTTTTTTGTTCTGACTGTACAGGTTTAGCGACGTGTTATTCACGTCACTACCTCAACGAT